AGAGAGAAAAAGAGAGGATTATTAGTTATTTATTTGTTTGAGGAAGTGACCGATGTCTTTGCTTTAAAATACTGCCCAGCAAGAAAAACGAGATATATTCATGAAAATTGGCGACGATGTAGGGATGTATTCGGCAACTCACGAAAGCGTTACCGTTTCCCATAGGCAGAGATAGGATCATACGGACGGCGTAAAGAACCAATCATATTGCAGGATTTATCACCGTGCCCACTGAAAAAAAAATAACGATGCTTATCCGAATTATTATGAAGAGAATCTCGAAGACTGCCAAGCTTACAAGAAGTCATGAAATGTTAAGGTCTGAATAATTCTGGGCTTTACTTGGAAAACATAATACTAATCACATTTCATTAGTAACATTAAACTACTAGGCTCCTATTCTTATTTTGATAAAAGCGAAACCACTTTGTTACTCAGTTTCAATGTATTACTTCCCCAAAGTTTGGGATCATTCACAATAGACATTTAGCACCAAGGTTTTCATGTTAGGCAAACCAAAACACTACTTTATTCCACATTTTGTACTGTCCAACAACTTGTATCAATGTTGGTAATTGAAAGACATTCAAGTAAAAGATCATTAGCATTATATTCCTAAAACGATACGCGACAAAGCATCTTTTTTTTTTAGGGAATTTGTCACGAGAGTCGATTTTTGATCGGTATTGTTCAACAAATATTCCCACATTACTTACATCTGACGAAATCTTGGGCTAACAGACTCTTGTCAACTGTTTTTGTATGGTTCGTCTAATTCGATTCAACAGCAACAACAGCAAGGAAAACCCAAGTACTGCAGGAGGATCTCTTTTACTTTAAAGTAATTTCAGAGGCTTTCAAATACTCTCAGACACATTCAGATATTCTCCGATATTCTCAAGCAGGTCTGCTCATCAGATTCAAGCCACATCCATTAGTATGAAATGGCCGCTTTCTGAAGCTTTGAGGCTTACGTAACTTAACCGAGCGTAGACTGTAACCTATCCTCGACGATAGTAAACCACATGACAAGCACTCCGTTCACCGTGACAAATCCAGGAATAAATATCTTGGATCATGACATTGCGTGGTTTACAGTTCGTGTAAGCCACACAAAAATGCGTGCTGAGTGGTAGCTATCCTACACCTCGGCATTCTAAGCTGGTCTTTCGATTTAGTTTAGTGCTTTTAAATGTCCAAGTTTTTAACTAGCTTGGAGCTCAAATATGTTGGGGCTAGCCCGTTAAAAAATTTGTATATCATATATTGTGACATTCCGTAGGTTTAGCAACTTTTCATTAGTGAGCCAGCCGAGTTCTTTGAGGACTGGCGTTTTGTGGTAAAACCTTCTAGTTTTGTCAAAGTGCGTACTGCAAAGTTTTAAATCAGCTGCAGCTTGTGAAGATTGATCTTTGATGTTCCGGCCCAGACAGTGGAACAGTAAAACAGTTTGCTTAATACTAATGAGTTTAAAATTGTGTGTAGTACCTCTCTAGAGAAAAGATGTCGCACTCTTTTAATTTGACATAGTACTGATAACAAAGAGGAGCTAAGTGAAAATATATGATCATTAAATGACATGTTTGAGTCAAGTATAATGCCCAAGTCCTCTACGCGTAGTACAAAGGTCAGTTCTTTACCAAGGAAGGGTACATAAATTCAGTTCCTATTGTAACTGTGTTAACCCTAACCCTACTGTTAATTTCCAACTAGTTAAATCAAATGATAGGGCGTCAGACTACTATGAAGGTCGTCAAGGATACGAGCCCTAGTCAGACCAACACTCAGCGTCATCATATAATTGAGGAGAGTGTGCTGCCTTTGAGTGGAAACTGTGTATGGTTGGACATTTCAGTCCTCTCTGTAGAATGTTCTAACCTGTGGGACCAGTTCTCTGCATGTTGACCTTTACGGTCAGCCTGGAGGTTTACATAAAGAACCGAAGCGCTTTTGTAAGGATCTAGGCACGAAGTTGCCACAAGTGTGCTATGTATCAAGGTAGTTCGTGATCGATCGTTGTTGATCAGCATATCACTGATGGTTCAAATCTACTAGCTTCAGATAAGCATAACAACAATACCTGCTTCCTTGTACTTCCGACGTCCTTTTTCTCTCTGTCGCGACCTCGTCCCTTCATTACCTGGGGAAAAATACATTCAATTGTCAATTCATTTCCAAGAGAAGAGGCGTGGTTACACAAAAACCTTTATTATAATTCAATAAAAGACACTGTCATGCTTTTGAAAATATTCTTGTACGTTCAACTGTTTATACCTGCAGCACTTCGCTTGTAACTTTCATTTTCTCCTTTTATCGCCAGCTCTTCTGAAAAAGAGAGACAATTCCTTGTGCAGTTCACGAACTAATAAACTTAATCATAATTTACTCCGAGTACACGGTCATAATAGAGCAGAAAGTCTCCATTGGACTCCAGCTCCAGAAACGAATAAAGATCTCGTCCCTCTACAACCTGGGGAAACATACATTCAATTATCTATTTATTTCCAAGAGAAGAGGGCGTGGTTACACAGAAATCTTTACCATAATTCGATAAAAGGCATTGTCGTACTTTTGAAAATATTCTTGTTTGTACAACTGTTTATACCTGCAGCGCTCCATATGGGAAATCTTGACAGAGCAGAAATTCTCCGCTGGACTCTAGCTGCACAAACAAACAAAGACAATTAAGATGCTACAATGATTCGCCGAAATACTTATCGATATACTTCTTCCATTGAAGTCGTCATGACCTTCGCGGTCTTCTTCTTGATCTATCGTTCTTGATCAGCATATCGGTGATAGTTCTAATCTACTCACCTTAGATAAGTATGACTTCAATACCTGGTTCCATGTAATTCAAACATTCATTTTCTCTTCGTTGCGGACTTGTCTCTCTACTATCTGGGAAAAATATATATCTAGTTATCTACTTATTTCCAAGAAAAAAGGCGTGGTTACCAAAAAATCCTTTACTACAATTCGATAAAAGGTACTTTTATGCTTTTGAAAATATTCATGTCTATTTAACTGTTTATACCTTCAGCGCTTTGTTTGTGACTTTCACTTCCTTCTTCTTTCGTCGGCTCTTCTGAAAAAGAGAAGCGATTTTCTGTGCGGTTCACGAACTTATTAACTTAATCATAATTAACTCCGAGTGCACGGTCATGACAGAGCAGAAAGTCTCCATTGGACTCTAGCTGCACAAACGAACAAAGACCTCGTCCCTTTACTGCCTGTAGAAAATTACATTCTAGCGTCTGTTTTTTCCAAGAGAAGAGGAGTGGTTACATAGAAATCTTTACCATAATTCGATATAAGGCACTGTCATGCTTTTGAAAATATTCTAGTTTGTTCAACTGTTTATACCTGCCGCACTTCGTTTA